CGTTAGTTTGCTGAGACAATTAGGCAATAAAATTCAATAAGTCATCTATACAAAATGCACCTTCACTTTTGTCAGTGATTTTTATGAGAATTTTGATATTTACTGTTACTAACAGACATTATTATTATCGTTCAGGTGTATTATACTCTCAACTTCTGTAAGTTTTGGGTTGCATAATCAAACAAATATTGCTGTGTTAAGGTCTCTGTTCAGTAATTTTTGAAGCCTTAATGGAACTTCTTGTTAGGTTTTCTCTTCCTCAGAAGTGCAGACATTACCAGTGATCTCTAATTTCAGACTTTTCTAGTTTCCAGAAAGTAGATGATGAGATGGACTGAAGGGGACATGGTATTTTAAGAATTGACCTTATGTTGCTGTTTTGTCCAGAATTATCAACAATATGTCCATCATGTCTAAGACTTTTGACCTAATTTAATACCATAGTGGAATTGAGCTTTCCCACTGGAACTGCTGTGTCATCATTTCATACTTTCGTTTATGATTTTTCTTTGCAACATCTTAGCTTGGACCAAATTTTAAGAAAGCTCTTAGAAATCTCAAGCAAAAAAATTAAAGAAAGCAACTTCACCCCACTGGACAGTGGCTTCTGCTCTCTGGTGGTATACCTCACAATCCCATCCTGAAAAAAAAGTGGTTTTAACCATTTTAGAATTATTGATGTGAACATAGGTGAGAGAATAGGTGTCCTTTATCTTGACTTCAGCAATGCTTCTGACACTGTGTCCCACCCATACTCCTGCATCCAAATTAGAATGTTGCAGTCTACAGATGTGGAACTAAATGAGTTAAAAGTTTGGGTGACCAGGGTCTACAGTGGGTGGGCAACGGTTTTTACTCTACCTCAATGATGATAACAAACATAATACTTTGGGGATCTGTCCTGAATCATGTCCTGTTTGACATCTTCATCAATGTTCTGGAGGAGGTGAAAGTGCATGCTTCTCAAGTTTGCAGGTGAAACCAGACTTCTTGATATGCTTGAGGGAGGGCAGGGCTGTTATCCAGATATACCCAGAGAAGTTGGAGGGATGGGCTGACAGAAGATTTAATGAAGATAAACAATGACAAATGCAAATTCTTCTGCTTGGGAAGACAGACTGGGGGCTGACTAATGTGGGAACAGCTCTGTGGAAAAGGCCTTGTGTGCTGGTTTTGGCTTAGAGTAGGGGTAACTTTCTTCATAGTAGCTGGTATGGGGTTGTGTTTTGGATTTATGCTGAACACAGAGTTGTTAATATAAAGATATTTTTGTTATTTCTGAGCAGTGCTTTCACAGAGCCAAGGCCTTTTCTGCTTTTCATACAGTCACGCTGGTGAGGAAGTTGGGGGTGCATAGGAGATGGGGAGGAGACACAGCCAGGACAGGTCACCCAGGCTAAACAAATGGATATTCCATACCAAATGACATCATGGTCAGCCTAAAGTGGGGGAGAAGAAGATGGATTGTGGAGACACTTGGAGTAATGGCATTTGTCTTACCAAGTAGCCATCATGTGTGATGGGGCACCACTCTCCTGGAGAGGGTTGAACACCTGCCTGCCCAGGGGAAGCAGTGAATTAATTCTTTGTTTTTCTTTGCTTGTGTTCACAGCTTTTGTTTTCCCTATTAAACTGTCTGTATCTCAACCAATGAGTTTTCTAGCTTTTACCCTTCCAATTCTCTCCCTGATCCTGCTGGTGGAGGAGTGAGCAAACAACTGTGTGGTGTTTGGTTTCTGGCTGGGATGAAATCATGACACCCTGGAAACCCTGGAAGCTAGCAAGCTGAGTGTTAACCAGCAGTGTGCCCTGGCAGCAAAAAATCCCAAGGGTATCCTGGGCTAAGTTCACGGGGGCACAGCCCATAGACAAGGGAAGCAATTATCCCTCTGCTTAGCACTTACTAGACTACAGTAGAATACCTCATCTAGTTTGAGCGCCCCCTAAAAGAACATCCCTAAACTGGACTGAGTTCAGCATCAAGACACCAAGGCTGACCAAGACAGTTTTTCATAGACAATCCATTTCTGTGCAAAAATGTTGTCCAGGCAGATTTTTGTTCCTTGCTGGGATGACACCTTCCTGATGACACCTTTTGACTCTCAGTTGTATGCTTTACATCTAATTTTGTTTTATTTACTTCTGTTTCTATTTTGTTATTCTTGCTGTTGCAACTGTGGTAGTCAATACATGCAGCATTTACCTCATATCTCAACTGTAGTGAAGTAATTCAGTACAGTGCATGGCGCAAAAATTAGAGCAGGTACACTTTGACTTGTGTCATCCACCAGCTACAATTTTTTTATGGGTCCCGGTACTTTAGTATTGGAATACGCCACAAACATTAAGGTATCTATCCACTGCAGGAAAGTAGAGAAGCATCTTCATCTCCAGTTCTCTAATGGATGATTTGCAGAAGTCTGGAACACTTGTAGTCCGATGAAGATTGGATGAGAAGATCTGAAGGATCTAATCTTCTTAGTTTTCTGTTGTATCCAGAGCTGAAAATCTATAAACCTTGAAGAACTGGGGAGAAAATTATCAGCTGTATCACTTCAGGAAGAGGAGTACAATATTCAGAGAGAGCAGAGGAGTCATTCAAAGCTTGTTCCTAATTTAGTTTGTATCATGGATACATTCTGACTGTATGAAGTACAGTATGAATTTTCCGAGACTTACTGGAGTTGGAATCCCTTGAGGTACCTAATATTGCAATATGGACTTGAACTGATCTATCACAGCAGTATGTGTGAAATATTGGTCAGTAATAAACACAGGAATTAACATTATAGCCTAAATGGATTTAGGAGGATATTATTTATATACAAAGACATACTTAATCAGCAAAATTGTCTCTAAACCTTAGCTTAGTTACACTATTCTTGGAAATGCTATTCCCTTCTTAATAAACATTTAAGTCAAATATCTCTCACATTGACATTATTTTGAAATGGAGTAGTTAAAATGTCTTTAACTGAAGTTAAATGATTCAATACTTCTAAAAATAATTGAATACATATTCATGAATAACAATACCTCTTGAGTAGAGTGAACCCATACTTTGAGTGGGTACATGCTGTTCTTCATTAGTCAAATACAGTATGACCCGCACTTGGGCAATATGAATTTAAGCATTGGCAGAGAAGGTACTGGAAATTGAAGTTGGGAGTGATGCTGCAGTATGTCAACTGCTGTGTGACAAATGTGTTTGTACTTAGCCATGTCCTGAAGTAAATGGAGGCAGCTTGTCTCTCAACGTACATGACTCTGCCTGAAAAGTTATCATAGATTTTTTGTTAAAGATGAGTTAATACAAAGTATTTTCAAGATATTTTTGTTTCAAATTACATGACTGGAAATTAAAAATTAAAAAAAAAAAAAGAAAGAAGAAAGCAAGAAAGAAAGAAAAGGGGGAAATAGTAGAAACTACAGATAGAGATGATTTCAAGTTGTTTGTCCGGTCCAAATGAGCTAAGTAGTAAAAACCTAAGAAAATCTCATCATTTGGACTACTTTACCTTTTCAGATTTTAAGTTGTCACTGTAATTTTACTCCTCGGGATTTACCTGCACCTCCTTGTGGATACTATGTTATGTCAAAAGCAGTGTGGCAACTAATAGAAATTGAGGAAGAGTATGTGAATAGAGACTGTTTCATGGATCTGCAAAACAATTTTGTCAGATTGCAATTACTGCAAAACAACTGTTTTCTGAAACACTACTTCCTACTAGAGTCTAAGGCTCCTCTGCTTAATAACTAATACTCTACATAATAACTAGGCTCCTCTCCCTAATAGCTAATGCTTGCCCTGGTGACAGCTGTTATGTACTTTAAATCTACCAAGTACAAGCATTACATAGTAGCAGCCTGTTTTATCAACTAAGGTGTATTTCTGCAGAACAAAACAAGATAAGGACATATTTCACTTGGGAATTTTACCAGCAACAACGGAAACAACAGAAATGAAACAAACACGTAGCTCCTCTAGGCATTCTGCAGGCCTTCTGAGTTTATTCCAAATTTATCCCAAAATGTTGATTTACAACATCTGATCTCAGTCAAGAGCTGGTAACCAGATACTTAGGTATGTTTCATTTAAATAAAGGATGGAGAAAAATTTAGCTTGGGAGGGATCTCCGTGATCTAATGTGTTGCTCAAAGCAGAACTAACTTCAAAGTTAGATCAGGTTGCTCAGGGCTTTGAACTATGTCCAAGGATGGATGTTACACAACCTTTCTGTAAAACCTCTTCCGGGGTTGCACTACTCTCCTAATGTCCTTATGCTAAGAAGATTTTTTTAATTTACAAGGATTTTGTGGTAAAGATACTTTCTACTGATATACAACAATAACTTACCCAGCTTTCTTATTGACTTGTACTTAAATTCTATAGTTTGATACAAGGTGAACTAGCCAGTCAAGTACAGGTGATTACACCAAGAGAGTAATCTTAGACTCATAGAATGGTTTGGGCTGGAAGGGACCTTTAAAGGTCATCTATTCCAACACCCTGCCTATGGGCAGGGACATCTTCAACTAGATCAGGTTGCTCAGAGCCCCATAAAACCTGACCTTGAATGTTTCCAGGGATGTGACATCTACCATCTCTCCAGGCAACCTGTCTCAATGTTTCACCACGTTCAATGTAAAAAATTCTTGCTTATATCTGGTCTGAATCTACCCTTTTTTGTTTAAAACTGTTAGCCTTTGTCCTATTGCAATAGCCCCACTAAAATGTTTGTCCCCATTTTGCTTGTAGGCCCCTTTTAAGTATTGGAAGGCTGCTAGGATGTCAGTCTGGAGCCTTCTCTTCTCCAGGCTGAACAACTTTTAACTCCAACTCCAACTCTCTCAGGTGCTCCAACTCTCTGACAATCTTCATGGCCCTTCTCTGGAACGGTTCACAGAATCATAGAATCATAGAATCATAGAATCATCTGGGTTGGAAGGGACCTCCGAGATCATCAAGTTCAACCCTTGATCCACTACCACTGCAGTTGCTAGACCATGGCACCAAGTGCCACATCCAGTTTCATCTTAAAAACCTCCAGGGACGGAGAATCTACCACTTCCCTGGGCAACCCATTCCAATGCCTGATTACCCTCTCTGTAAAGAAATTATTTCTAATATCTAACCTAAACCTCCCCTGGCACAGCTTAAGACCACGCCCTCTTGTCTTGCTGATAGTTGCCTGGGAGAAGAGACCAACCCCCACCTGGCTACAACCTCCTTTCAGGTAGTTGTAGACAGTGAGGAGGTCTCCCCTGAGCCTCCTCTTCTCCAGGCTGAACAACCCCAGCTCCCTCAGCCTCTCCTCACAGGACTTGTGCTCCAGTCCCTTCACCAGCCTTGTTGCTCTTCTCTGGACCTGCTCCAGCACCTCAATATCCTTCCTGAACTGAGGGACCTGGAACTGGACACAGTACTCAAGGTGTGGCCTCACCAGTGCTGAGTACAGGGGCAGAATCACTTCCCTGGTCCTGCTGGCCACACTCTTCCTGATACAGGCCTTCTTGGCTACCTGGACACACTGCTGGCTCATGTTCAGCTTCTTGTCAATCCAAACTCCCAGGTCCCTCTCTGTCTGACTGCTCTCCAGCCACTCTGTTCCCCAGCCTGTAGTGCTGCAGGGGGTTGTTGTGGCCAAAGTGCAGGACCTGGCACTTGGCCTCGTTGAACCTCATCCTGTTGGAATCAACCCAACTCTCCAACCTATCCAGATCCCTCTGCAGAGTCCTCCTGCCTTCCAGCTGATCGACACTACCCCCCAGCTTAGTGTCATCTGCAAATTTGCTGATGATGGACTCAATCCCCTCATCTAAATCATCAATAAAGATATTAAACAGAACTGGGCCCAACACTGATCCCTGGGGGACACCACTAGTGACCAGCTGCCAACTGGATGCAGCCCCGTTCACCACCACTCTCTGGGCCCGGCCCTCCAGCCAGTTCCTAACCCAGCACAGGGTGCCCCTGTCCAAGCCGTGGGCTGACAGCTTTTTCAGGAGTATGCTGTGGGAGGTGGTGTCAAAGGCTTTACAGAAGTCCAGGTAGACCACATCCACTGCCTTCCCCTCATCCACCAGGGGGTTCACTTGTTCCAACAAGTTCATGTCCTTCCTGTGCTGAGGACTCCAGAGCTGGATGCAGTGCTCCAGCTGGGGTCACACTAGTGCAGAGTACTTAGGGAGAATCACTTCCCTCGACCTGATGGCAACATTGCTTTTGACGCAGCCAGGATACAATTGGATTTCTGGTCTGCAAGGACACATTGCCAGCTAATGTCCAGTATTTCATTGTCACTAGTGGTATTCTCCAGGGTTCAGTACTGTTTAACTTGTTCACCCATGACTTGGATGAGCGGACAGATGCCTCCTCAGCAAGTTCACTGATGACACAAAGCTGGGAGGAGGGGTCGATAGCCCAGAGTGCTGTGCTGCCCTTCAGAAGGACCTCGACAAATTGGAGAGATGGGCAGAGAACTGCCTGAAATTCAACAAGGGCAAGTGCAGGTCCTGCACCTGGGGAGGAATAACTCCCTGCACTAGTTAAGGCTGGAGGCTGACCTGATGGGAAAAAAGCTCTGTGGAGAAGGACCTGGGGTGGGGTCCTTGCGGACAACCAGCTGTTCATGAGCCAACAGTGCGCCCTTGTATCCAGGAAGGTCAGTGGTATCCTGGGGTGCATTAGGAAGAGCACTTCCAGCAGGTCGAGGGAGCTGATCCTGCCCCTTTACGCAGCCCTGGTGAGGCCTTACCTGGAGTGTAGTGTCCACTTCTGGATTCCTCAGATCATAAGAGACATGGAGCTCCTGGAGTGAGTCTAGCAGAGGGCTACAAAGGTGTTGAAAGGACTTGAGCATCTTTCTTGTGAGGAAAGACTGAAGGAGTTGGGCCTGTTCAGCCTTTGGAAGAGATGACTGAGAGGGGACCTCATCAATGTCTACCAGTATCTAAAGAGAGGATGCCAAGAGGATGGAACCAGGCTCTTCTTAGTGGTGATGAACTGTAGGAAAAGAGGCAATGGGCAGGAACTGATGTACAAGAAGTTCCACCTGAACTTTGCTGTACAGGTGACTGGAACAGATTTCTCAGAGAGGTTGTGTATTCTCCCTCACTGGAGATATTCAAGTACCATTTGGACAAAATCCTGTGCCATGTTCTCTAGGATGACCCAGCTCGGATCAGATGACTCCATGTGGCCCCTTCCAACCTGACCCATTCTGTGATTCTGTGATTTCATCCACCAGGACCTCCATGTCCTTCTTGGTAGAGTGGTTCTCAACCCTTTTGTCCTCCATCCTGTATTTATAGTCCGTATTACCCCAACCCAGGGGTGGAACCTTGTGCTTGAGCTCATTGAACTTTGTGAGGTTCACAGAATTTTCCCCTGGGCCCGCTCCTTGAACTTGTCCAGGTTCCTCTGGATGGCATCCATCCCTCAGGTATGTCAGTGACATCATTCAGCTTGGTGTCATCTGCAAATTTCATCAATGAAGACAATAAAGAGCACTCATCCCAATACAGACCCTTGAGGGAGGCCACTCATCACTGATCTCCATCCAGATGTTGAGCCACTGACCACTACCCTCTGGATATGACTGTATTACCATCCAAGTAATTCCTTATCCATCAAGCAGTTCATCAATCAAATCCATATCTGTCCTCTCTAGAGAGCATGATATAGTAGGTAACCATATCAAAGGCCTTGCAGAAATCCAGATAGATGACATCTGTAACAGTTCCCTTGCCCACTGATGAGAATTTTGTACAATTAAAAAAAAAAGGAGAAACAGCTCTTTAAGTGCTCAGGTAAACTCCTTTAGAAAGGACTGATTTTCAGTGTGTAAGGCTGTATCTCTCAGGATATCTTATGATTGTGAAGGATAGCATCATATGTTCAGCTAAAACAGAAGAATTTGATTAGGCTTCTGAAAGAAGTCTTTAAAAGAAATTCTTTTGTGGAGGTCTCCTCTCCCAGGTGATTTCTCTCATGAAAGTATTTTTTCATATAAATGTATGCTGACCCATAAGCTATACACAGAAATGGAAACCATGACTGAAGCCTAGGGAGAAGTAAGGAGCAGAATAGTGGGGAGAGGAACTTTCTAATATAGGTTTGGCATAAATAGATTGAATTATTTTGTACATTTACCTATGTCTGTTACAAATATTAAACACACCATTTTGAATGTCATACACAAAAGTGTTGGGTTTTTTTAAATTTAAATGATAAGTGGCTTCGGATCAGCACAATGTAAATTTGCTTGGCAACAATAAGGCAGTCTTCTCCCAAAAGTGTGACAAATATATAAAAAAGTGTTCCCTAACTTACCAGCACAACTCTTATTATGCCCAAAAGGTAGTGCAATGGATCTCTTTTTCATCTGCAAAAGCTAGAGAGAGAAATCTACTTGGATAACACTGAGGAAGCAAGACGGAAAAAATATCCTCTGATGAACATGAAGGCTTTAAGATGTTGGAGTGTATGTTTGAACCCCAAAAGTCACATGGAGTATCCCTCTGTTGTATATGTCTCATAGACCCAGATCCTGCCAGGATATTTTCAGACAGCAGTTAAGGTGAGAAAGTCTTCAAAATCAGTGGGGAAAAAAAACAATTAGAAAAGAAAGGCAGATAGAAGTTCAAATCCAAAACATCCAGAAATTAGAAGTTTCACTAAGCTAATATGTTAATGCATATCATACCAAGGGTTCACAGCATCACTAAAGGTATTCAGTCATAATCATTAGATTGAGATTTGAATTCTTTTGAAAGAATTCACCATCTTTATCATAACACTTCAAATAAAATGTCCAAATATTCCTTTCCTCACTTCTTGTTTTATATTTCTAGTCATCCATATGTTTTATATTGTGCCCACTGTAACATGCCTTTTTATACAACCTGTACATATAAGAGCCATTTATCTCTACACAGCCTTTTTCTTGAAGAGTCATATTGAATTAGTAGGATTTCTCCAGCTAAAAAAGACTTAAGTACCTGATCTTGGGTTAAGGATTATTTCAGATTAAAAGAGGGCACTGCAGTGTAGATAGATACAATCTATAAATCAAAGTGTTGAAAATGTAGAGTGTTATTATATGGATTTCTCCGAGGTACTGTGCCAGAGATAGGCAGAAGGATGTAAGTGTGAAACTAAAGAAAAAGTAGACACTGCAATACAGAAATTACTTAAGCATATGCAAAGATTCCATTCGCTGAGAAATTTTCCCTCTGCTTTCAAAGTAGATATTAAATAATGTCCTGAAGAGTGGAATAAGTAAATTAATTAAACTCAAATACAGCAATCCACAGGAAAGATCAAAAGTCCATCTGCCAAAGAGATCATCCACATTCAGGAAGATGCCTGAAGTGTAAAGAGTCAAATTTCATAAGACACTAAGCTTTTACAAGTAACTTCTGAGGAAGATGCTGTCTTACCTTACTAATGAGATTAAAACAGTGATGTTGCTCTTTCCCACCAAAATAGATAACTCTATATAATTCAGAAAAACAACAATGGTTAATCCAGAAGAAACCTGACTTGGTTTATTACTGCCCTTTGCCAAATTCTTCTTTTTCCAAGCAAATTTAGAGAAAGGATTCTGGGAGTCTAAGTACAGGAGACACCCTAGACCTGGCTCAATCTGGATTTTGATCAAAACATAGGACAGAAGCAACACTCACTCACTGTTGGATGTTCTCCTGATATTGCTAAAGAGTACAAAAAACTTCTTGAATGAGTCAGTCATTCCTGAGTTAGTAATGACACGTCTGAGGAAGATGGAGGAATTCCATGGAACCAAACTGCGTAATGTTGTTAACAGAGAAAAGATGTAGTAGTTGTGAGAGAAGCTGTACCTCCCTTACCTCTGGAGCCCCATAAAGATTACTTTTTTGTATGGTTCTTTTAAACATTCATAAACACAGAATGTACTGATTTGGCACTATAGAACTAAGTGTGAATTTGCCTGCTTATTTCTGTCTTCTGTAACACAGAAAATTCTAGAACAACACCAATATAGCCCAGTACTTTGCCAAGAAATACAGGAGAATACAGATCAAGTGGGTACAACAGAAGCCACAAAAGACAGACTATGTTGATAGACAGAAGAAAGGGCTCGGAGTTTCCTTTGGACACAATATTTTCCATTTGGATGGAAGAAACTTAATTAACTCCTTGGTTTCTCACTTACTGGTAGATATACTTCTGCTAATCTTGGTGTAGCATGACTGGTCAGGAGTAGACCACATTCTACCTTGAAAAAAAATGGCTAGTTCAATGGTATACTGAAGTTTGCCATTTCCCAATTAAATTTTAGGAATATGGTATGAAGCTGTCAGAGTGCATGATTCACAGGACAAAATTTCATTTTAGCAGCTGCAGCGTGTCATGCCCAATCTATGCTCTCCATGATGATTCTCCTCAGCATATTAAGAAATCATTTGAATGTTAAGTAAACCTTTATCCTTATCTTTAAGACACTCTTTTATCTATCCTTTTGTGATGCCCAGATTAGTGGGGAGGTGAAGTGACAGAAATTGTTCTCCTTAGAAATAATGGAATGGGTATCCGCAGAGATAGTGTCCCTGCATGCAGAATTTGGAATTTCCTCAGTGGGAGTATAAGAATGACCACAAAGTTCTGCTTGCTCGTCTTCAGAGTATATGATGTTATGAAGCTGTGCTGCAAGTAAGAGAAACTGTAAGTGTTCAGCATCAGGAAATTTCTTATGCCCCTGATGTTAACTGATTCTCATGACATATCGTAACAACAGGAAGAAACATTCTATATCCCATAAGTAGCAATTACTTTGGGGTTTTCAGCCAGTAGTAATCTGAAAATCTTCCAGATATCTGCTCCACATGTAGGTAACATTGAAATGGTATATAAATAATATGTTGGTCTTTGCACCCTAAAGAAATACTAGTGAAATGTTATTTGATTATTGGGGCATACAGAGGTGAAGTGCAAGAAGCATCACTTGAAAAAACTAGACCCTTTAAGAACAAGCCAGTTTATACTGAGATTATTGATGTTCTATTCCTTCTGAGGGAAAGGAATTCTGTGGCACCTGATTTCTGTGGTGCCCATGGTTAGTTGAATTTGTCCTAGTGTATGTAACAATTTTAATGGATGCTATCTGAGACAGCTGTAGGATAATCACAGAATGTGTTGTAGGAAAACTGAAAGCAAGGTACAGATCTCTGATGAACAATAGCAGTTCAGTGACAAACACCAGAATTGTAAACCCTGATGTCTGTGTATTTCATAGTGTATATGAAACTATGTCAATAATTTCTGCTTCCATGCTATATTTTCAGACCAAGGTCAGGCAATTTTAAAGGTTGTTTTTCATAAACAAGCATAAAAAGTACAAAAAGAAGAAGAAGAAGGACAAAGTCCCCAAAAATTTTTTCTTCCATTGAGTGTTGATTTTAATTAATACATGTATGTATCTTCATATATAAACTTCATGAAATTTAAGTTAGGTCACTGGGAGAAAGCAGGTAACACAGGCATGAGCCACCTCCACATGTTTCATGGTGCTAACTTACTAAATTTTCAGAGATTCACCAGATTTAATGTCAATCTTTTATAATCACAATAGGGATAATGTTAGGTTTCTGAAGTGGTGCACTTCAGATTTCACTTAAGATTGCTGCAGTCACTTATTTCTCAACATGTTGCTGATTACAGTCCTCTAATTCTGAGGGGGCTTTTGGTCTTGGATGACCTATGAACTCTGTTGCCATGGGGATTTGCTACATGGGGAAGACTACAACCTCTTTCAGATTTTCAATTTTTCTATAGTAAAAGCCAAAAACCCCTTAGCAAAATGGTGATAAACAGGATGATTTTTGAAGTTATTATTTTCTTCTAGTCTCCAATATATAGAAAAGATGTGGATTTTTTAGATTTGTATATTTATTTTATATGGAAATTAAACTGAATCCATGCAAAATCTAAGCTTTCTGAATGTGTTTAAGAGAGTTGTGAAAGAATTAATGTTTGTATAACAGGTGCTTCAAAAGGTGAATAGAATTCAAAATGTTGAATTCCTTTTACTTCAAGGAATACCTTTTACTTCAAGGAATTATTGAACCATTTTCAGTATTCATAGTTGACACAGAGATTATGCAGTAGATGCTATAAACTCTTGGCAGGAAGAGAATTTAGAATTAATTCCTTTTAGATTTTTACAGCACTTGAATAGCTTGTGAAATAGCTCTGAGAATATTAAATGTTTTCTACAAATAAACTCTATCTATTTACATATATCATTGCTTTTTTCACTACCAAGCATCTGTACAAAGGAGCAACCCAGAAAGGACATATTTGAGTCAATTTCAAGTTTGATTTGTGTATGGCTTTTTAGAAAAGCAGTTCGAAAAAATCAATTAGAAATTTCATTATATTTTTCCTAAAAATTCCAATGTCAGGGCAGCATTAGTA